TCCACAAGATGTCCACAAACGCGCCCAGGCAGGGGACCCCTTGGAACCGGGATTACATGCCGCCGCGGGGACGCAGAAAAGTGAGACTAACGGCGAGGCAGCCGGGCGTGGCCACCCAATTCCATGGAACTCATTCAGCAATGGCTGGTTGGATGTTGTAAAACGAATCCTGGTCTGGTGGGCTTCGGGATGGGCGCCGGCCCGGAACTCGACAGCCACCACCAAGGGGCACACGATCTAACCCAGTAAACGAAGACTAAGATTCGACTAGGTTTGTCTTTGGACGGGGCCTTACATGACAGCGGGCGAAGCACGCTTCGACGTGAGCGACCGGGGCAATGGTGTGGGAATACCACAAATAGCCAGGCTAACGGATGTGGCAGCTAGGAACAACTTTCTCTTCCCAACAGTTTACAGCCCAATGGTATTCATACATCTCAGTGGGAGAGGCAAGGGTGCTAGGCAGGATATCGAATAATCAGGTCAACGGCAACGGTAGTTTACTCAATCACTGTTATTTCAGTGTTAAGTAACAAGGACCCCGGTGATGATGATGGGGAATTGGGTTAGACGTAGACCCGCTTAAGTTCCCTGCTAGGAGCGGGAGGCCCAAGGTCGTTGTACCACAGCATGTTTAACAAGCTTTCCCAGCCGAAAATTTGAGCCAAATGCTCAGCTTCTTCAACCACGTTCAGCTCTACGGCCCAAAAGTGGTACTTTTTATTTAAAGCATGTTTAAGGGGAAGAACATGGGATTGCATACATATCCTCAAATTCAATTTCATTACCACTTCAAGGCTTATTTAGCCGACGATAAGTTTGGAGCGGTAGTTGTATGCGGACTAGTCAATCCCTGACACTTCTCAGCTGGGAAGCGCGATAGGTCTTTGGCACCAGGAGAATATTCCACGATCCAAGCCGGCGAGGTGAAGAAATCGACGTATAGTTCCAGCCGTGGGTAATTTTTCTCAACAACACTGGTGTGCCATGCTGCTTGCCCAAAAGGGTGGGAATCTTGTCGTGACCCATGGGAATTTAGCGCCCATGATGGGGTCGCACGCGATGAAAAGGAGGTCCCTGTGCTGTTATGGTGCGTCCAAGGAGGATAGCCCTTCAATAGCGTGTTTTTCGAATAATAATTTACTCCTGCAGAAAATGGACGCATGTCGGTGTAAAAGAAGCGACGATAAATAAAAAAAATCATGATGAAGGACGTACAAACAACCGTTCAAAGCAAAAGCAAAGCAATCAGTAAGATGAAACGTAGGGCCGTAGTGGCGGGCGGCTAGGTATGCAAGGGTTACCGTTCTGGTTTTCTGCCGTACTTTTGCTTGAAAATTAAATGCCAGATGAGTTGCAAAAATTATCGGGATGTGTATTTCATAAATAACAGTACTCCAGCCGCCTTGCGTACGCCTACCATGGTCCCACCCAAAGCTCTAGATTCAGCTAAAGAGATATCTCAACGATTCCCAGAAGGCCAGAGGGCCCTCATAGTGAAGAAGTACGCGCGGAGCCAATAAGAGGTGCAAATATAGCCACCTTGACGAATCGGAGTCCAGGATGAACGGT